GGCCAATTAGGAATGACACTAAATTAATTTTTCTTCCGCTAACGTGCTGTTTATAAACCCACCGTAACTGCAAACGCATAGGCTAATTAAAGTAATATCTTGACTTATTCGCATTTTACTTTCTAGATCTGTACAGCCAGGTTTACAGTGGCCTTGCACTTCTACATCACACATGCCCAGCGATGACGGAAGCGAGGCCAGCAATCAAGGCGAATCGGGACAGTTGTTTCGCACAAGATGCTTGCATTTTTGCAGTAAGGCGACATTTCAAACCCCGAGGACAAGGAAGCAGTTAGCTCACATGGCAAAAAGTAATAATAATAATAATACATTCTCTATTGCCTTCCTGGAATGCCTGTTTGCATGAGATGCTGTTGGCTGTGAAAATTCCACTCCTGCCTCTTCTCTCTTTCAAATTAACCCAAGACTTTGGCAAAGCCGAATGAAGGATGAGGGGCGATGGTTGGAGTTGGGGGGTTTAGCAGGGTTGGACTTATGATGGGCCATTGGGTCGGCCAACTCCATTCAGCGGGCTCAAGGAGGCAGTTGGCAACCGGGGTCCAGCGTGTAATTTGCATGCCCGATGGCAATAGAGAGAGAGAGAGAGAGGGGGTGGCAGTATGACACACCAACAGAAGCTGATCTACAAGAGCATACATGCACAAGCAGGCGTCACTAGAGGCATCGTAGCAGGCACCAGAGATTGTAGTGACGCCCGGAAGTGGGACTTGGCTGGAAGACGAGCCAATGGGCAGAATGAAGGTGAGGCGGAGCCATATACCGGACATAAATGCTACAATGTTTAGAGGTTGATTAAACTTTCTCCTTTTCATAATCCTTTCGACAATTACAACTCGCTTGGGTGCCGTACCATCTGCTCCTACATGGCCAGTTTTTTGGGGCTATTCTGCATTCTAATATGAAAGTGGAATGCCAACTCGTAGGGCAAAAAGGGGTGAAATAATGGAAAAAATAAGAGCCCTATTAGAAAGGAAAATGAGATACAGCCCTTCCGTTTGGTCAAACAGACTCGGATACTCTCAAAACAGCTTATTTGCTTGTATGTCTGTCATTATGTCCGTCTTTATGCGTGTACGCTTGTCTGCCTGTATATCTATATACTTGTCTGTCTTATGGCATATTTGTCTGCATGCATTTTTTAAAAAATTAGCCCAATAGTTTAAAGTGCCAAGGCATGCTTGTTTATTTGCTTTTTGACTATGCCAGGAGGTGTACTTGTAAATCTCGCCTCTATCTCCTGACAAGCTGGAAAAGCTCTACAAGGAGTTAGCTCTAATTCGAGCGCAAATCTTTAATCGCTTCGCTTGTTTACGACAGTCTGTACGAATGGATGTGGAAAATGTGTACTTGCGTTATAAATACCTGCGTGCATGCTGATGTTTTTAGACTGAGCTCGAGTGAAAATTGAGAAGGATTGTAGGAGAAGGTGAATTGTCAAAACACAAAGACAGAGGTGGGAGAGCCGGAAAAATGTGACTATCCAGCCTGATTTTGCCTGTTGAGAAGTGCATACTGGGAAACTATGAGGGTCTGAACACGTGTTTAGTCGTCGAAAATCAAATCTACAATGCGGAAGAATGAGAATCGTAGGAAACAAGACTTATAATTAAGGAAGAAGAATTATAAAAAGAAAATTAAAAATGACAAAATAGCTGCTTAAAATAGCGAATGAGATGCCAAAGTTAGTTAAATCAATACTCCAAGACAAGAATCTCCACCCACATGGGACAAAAGTGCTGAATTATAAGTTTATAACATTGTTTCCTTGCATTTTTCCATTCACAAATAGTGGTATATAAGAGAAAGATGTGTAATTTAGATGATAGAGTGGTGCAAAATTTTTTTTGGCTGAGTTCGTCTGTTGAAAGCGGCAGAATAGCGGAGAAAGAAGTGGAGCTTGATTCCGCACCCGTAAGAAACATAATTTCAGAAAAATGAATAACCTATATTTATATTAGTTTAATATTCCCTATTATTTCAGGGGATGCTGATTTCGTATTTAACTATAAAAGGACACTTATCATCAATTTTTAAATGAGCATAAGCATGTAAGATTTTTCACTTTACTGCTTTCATTTCAATTTCGCCAAAGATATAATCACGAAAAAGTAAAATATAATGCTGGACATCAGACAATTGTATTATTATTATTTTACCAAGTATTTAAATCAACGTTACATGGTCTGAATCTACTTGGTTGGAAGATGCTAATTTAGTATTTGAAAAATGCCCATAAACGTTATAAACCTTTTGCGTTAATGTACAACACTTGAAGTATAGAAAAAAATAATTATAAACGATCTACTAAGCAGTTATAAGTCAGTATGGGGATAAATGAAGTTTTATCGGAGGCTCTTGTGCAAGAGCATGCAACCTTTGCCCTTCATGTGCATGATAGTACAGTCTAGTTGGATCAGGAGGGGATTAAATGTCTTTTTCATGATTTAAGTGCTGATTAGGAATTTGTATAACTTCAAGTCAAGATAGCCACACAAACGTTATCTGTACTTTCGGAAGAACATTCACGAGTTGCGCATAGTTGGACTATTATAATGAATTGATTTTGGTGAACAATTCCCGCAATACAGGAAAGTTTAGGGACAATTTTGAACGGTAAAATTGGGGAAATCTATCAAGCATTTTGGATTTCAGATAAATATAAGATGCATTAGCTGGAAGAAGCAGAAATTTTAATCACCTTATTATAAAGACTTATTATATTTTCAATATTCTCTCGATTTCTTAAGACCTTAAGGATGTTTTGGAGTCTTGAAGCAAACGAGATCAGCGGGAATTCAACTTG